GCTATCATTTCATATCCACTATGGTGGCTGTAACCAAAAAGACAACAAGTTTTGGCAAAGATGTGAAGAAACTGGAAACCTCATACATTGCTGGTGGGAATGTAAAAATGGTGCAGCCAGCCACTATGGAAAACAATCTGGCAGTTACCCTTTTGACCCAGCAATTGCACTCGTAGATATTTACCTAAGCAAAGGGAATACATACATTTATACAAAAACATGTACAAGAATATTCATAGCAACACTTAATAGTCAAAAAATGGCAACAACCCAAATGTTTATCAACAGATGAATGGATAAATAAAACAGAGCATATCCATAAGATGGACTATTAACTGATCATTAAAAAAATGCAGTCCTAATACATACTATAAGGTAGAAGAACAATGAAAACACGTACCAAGTAAAAGAAGAGATACACACAAGACTATATGATTCTATTTATATGAAACGTCCAGAACAGGAAAACTTATACACATTAGAAAGTAAATACATAGGTGCAAGTATAAGAGGAAGCAAAACTGGGAGTAACTGCTAATAGATACAGAGTTTCTTCTGGGGGTGATGGAAATGTTCTGGAAACAGGTAACAGTGATATTACACAACACTATGAATATACTGGGCAGCCCCGGTGGCTCAGCGGTTTAGCACCACCTTCAGCCCAGGGTGTGATCCTGGAGACAGGGGATCGAGTCCCACGTCGGGCTCCCTGCATGGGCCCTGCTTCTCCCTCTGCCTATGTCCCTGCCTCTCTCTGTGTGTGTCTCTCTCATGAATAAATTAATAAAATTAAAAAAAAAGTACTATGAATATACTAAAGCCCCTGACTTGCATATAGTAAAATGGTTTAAAAAGTGAACTCTAGGGATCCCTGGGTGGCGCAGCGGTTTAGCACCTGCCTTTGGCCCAGGGCGTGATCCTGGAGAACTGGGATCGAATCCCACGTTGGGCTCCCGGTGCATGGAGCCTGCTTCTCTGCCTCTCTCTATATATGTGACTATCATAAATAAATAAAATTTAAAAAAAAAAGTGAACTCTATGTTACCTGAATTTTATCTCGATTAAAAAAAAAAAACCTAAAATAATCAATTGCATTTCTAGTATCAAAATGTACAATTCTAAGAATGAAATTATAAAAACAATTCTATATACAAAAGCATCAAAAATAGTAATACACTATGTTAACTAGAATTTAAATTTATTTTTTTTAATTTTTATTTATTTATGATAGTCACACAGAATGAGAGAGAGAGGCAGAGACATAGGCAGAGGGAGAAGCAGGCTCCATGCACCGGGAGCCCGACGTGGGATTCGATCCTGGGTCTCCAGGATCGTGCCCTGGGCCAAAGGCAGGCGCTAAACCACTGTGCCACCCAGGGATCCCTAGAATTTAAATTTAAAAAAGAAACAGGTAGGGCACTGGGGTCTCAGTCAGTTAACTGTGTCTGCTTTTGGCTCAGGTCATGATCCTGTGGTCCTGGAATCAAGCCCGGCATCAAGCCCACATCAGTCTCCACTGCTCAGCAGAGACATCTGCTTCTTCCTCTCTTTCTGCCTCCCCCATTATGCATGCATACACATCCTCTCTCTCTCTCTCTCTCTCACTCATTCTATCTCTGTCAAATAAATAAATAAAAATCTTAAAAGAAAAAAAAAGGAAACAGGTAAAAAAAACCCACTTAGAAATAAATTTATGAAAAGCAGCACAAGATCTGTACATCAAAAACTACAACAAGGGATCCCTGGGTGGCGCAGCGGTTTGGCGCCTGCCTTTGGCCCAGGGCGCGATCCTGGAGACCCGGGATCGAATCCCACGTCGGGCTCCCGGTGCATGGAGCCTGCTTCTCCCTCTGCCTGTGTCTCTGCCCCTCTCTCTCTCTCTCTCTCTATCATAAATAAATAAAAATTAAAAAAAATATTAAAAAAAAAAACTACAACAAAATACTAATGAGAGAAATTAAACAATAAATAAATAAATGGAGAGAAATACCATGTTCTGGATTAGAAGACTCAATATGGTCAGAATACAATTCAACACAATCCCTACCAAAATCCCAGTAGGTTTTCTTTTTTGTGGAAATTTACAAGGTAATTCTAAAATTTATATGAAAATACAAAGAATCCAGAAAAGCCAAACAATTTTGAAAAAGAAAAGTAAAGCTAGAGAACATATACTACCTAATTTCAAAACATAAACCCAGTAATAAAAACAGGACCCACTGAGGGGGACACTTGACGGGATGAGCACTGGGTGTTATTCTGTATGTTGGTAAATTGAACACCAATAAAAATTAATTTATTAAAAAAAAAAACAGGACAAACCTGGAACAGAATAATCCAGAAATAAACCCACACACTGTAATCTGTTGATTTTTGACAAAAGCACCAAGTTAATTCAATAGGCTAAGGATAGTCTTAAATAATGGTGCTGCAACTGGGTATTCATAAGTAAGAAGGGAGGCGGGGGAGGAAAAGAACTTACACCCTTACCTCACACCATATGTAAAAACTAACTCAAAATGAATCATAGACCTAAATGTAAGACCTACAATGTTTACAACTTCCAGATAAAAACATAAGGGAAAATTTTTTTTGGTTTTGGGTTCAGCAAATACTCATTGGCTGTCTCAATGAAAACATGATAAAAGAAAAAAATGATAAACTGGACTTAATCAAAACTCAAAATCTTTTCTCTTCAAAAGACCATTAAAAAATGAAAATACAAGCCACATACTGGAAGAAAATATTTCCACATCACTTACCCGATCAAAAGATTTGAATACAGAACATATAAAGAACATGACTCAATAGTAACATAGCCAATGAAAATGAAAAATGCGTAAGATATTTTTTAAAAATACAAAAATATATAAGTATGGGATTAAAAAAAATAAAAAAAAAATAAGTACGGGATTAGATGTTCAACATTGTTTGTAATAGAGAAATACAAGTTAAAACAATGAGATACCACTACAGATCCTCTAGAACAGCTGTCGTTAGACTGACAATCTAAATGTTGGTGAAAAATGTAAAGAAACTAAAGGAACCCTCATAGCACACTGGTGGGGGGGGGGAATTAATAGTCACCACTTTGGAAAATAGTCTGACAATTTCTTCAAAGATAAACATACATTAACCATATAACTCACCAACTCTACTTCTAGATATCTAGCCAAGAAAAACTTTAAAACTTATCTGCACAAAGAACATTCTATAAAACAATGTTCATAGCAGAACTATATACAATCACCAAAAAAGTGGGACAATCCAGATTTCTTCGAAGATATAAAAGGTGGTATAGTATATTCAAACAATGCAATACAATTCAGCATTAAAAAGCAACAAAGTACTGATACATACAACATGGATGACCCTCAACAACATTATGCAACTGAAAGAAAATAGGTAAGAAAGATGAGATAGGGTGTAATTTGATTTATATGAAATTTCAAGCAAAGATAGAACTATAGACAAAAGCAGGTCAATGGATGCCTGGAGGTGGGACTGCAAAAGGACATTAAAAAAAAAAAAAACTGGAAGGTCATCAAACTGGGTTGTGGTGGTTTCACAAGTGTATGTATTTACTACAACTCACCAAACTATACAACTACAATAGATGAATTTATAGGGTATTAATACCTTGGTAAAGTTGTTTTAAAGAGTGAACAATATACTCACCATTGTAGCCTTCAAGAACAGAATCAATAATAGGTCTTGCAGTTAAGTTATAAACATCAAGTTGTTTACTCTCTGGTCCAAAAACAGTATCAAAAGTAAATGTCTTTGGAGGTTCATTGGAAGAATCAGTCTTATGTACAGTAATAGTTCCCCTCATCTCATCGACACTGACAGCCTGTTTATAGCACATTGATTTCTCTCTCTCGTTGAGGGGCCGGCACCTAACAACGACCTTCACATTATCACAGCTCTCAGGCTTCTCAGATTTATTGATCTGGTGGAGAAAATATTCACAAATAATAAAAAAGCACATTTACTTTTACCTTCAGCAAATTAAATTTCAAATCTCAAAAAGGCTACTGTGCCATCCCAGTGCCTTGCATATATTAAGCACTCCACAAATTTCTGTTAAATGCAATTAAAGATCTTACGGATATATTAAAAAGGTTAAAGATATGCAAAGGTAAATAGGTTTTTTTTTACAACACAAATGATGGGAAATAAAACCTAATTTACGGGGATCCCTGGGTGGCGCAGCGGTTTGGCGCCTGCCTTTGGCCCAGGGCGCGATCCTGGAGGCCCGGGATCGAATCCCACATCGGGCTCCCGGTGCAGGGAGCCTGCTTCTCCCTCTGCCTGTGTCTCTGCCTCTCTCTCTCTCTCTCTCTCTGTGTGTGTGTGTGACTGTCATAAATAAATAAATAAATAAATAAATAAATAAATAAATAAATAAATAAATAAATAAATACCTAATTTACATTTATAGTAAATAAATGCTGTTCAAGCAGAAAATTACTCAGTATATTACAGACTGTCCTCCTGCATAAAAATCCCTGACTACTACTGAGTTTCCTGCCTGACGGAAAACACATTTGAACATGGTTAACAACTTTAATCAAGACTAAAGTAGTAGGTCTTGTGTTCCCCTGAGACTTTTTATTTTTCTACAAGGCATCAGTAAAATGCTTTTTTTTTTTACCATGTAACTATATATAGTCTATCTTCTCCATAGAAGATAACATGAAACACAGAAAACAAAGTCCAACCGCAGAGAGAAATGTTTTAGTATCTCTCTAACCTTATGAACATTTATATACGTAAAGTTTCAACTTCTGAAATTTTGTGATTAAGAATCCATGCTAAAATATAACCCCAAACAAGGACACATGCACTATGATTTCACTTACATGTGGAATCTAAAAAACAAGAGATAAACAGAACAAAATTCTGCCTAGAACAGACTGGTGGTTGCCTGAGGGCAGTGGGGTACAGAGGTGGACAAAATGGGTGAAAGGGATCAAAATGTACAAATTCCCAGTTATAAAATAAATCATGTATAAATAATATATAGCACTTTGATTAAAGTCAACAGTACACCACTGCATATTTGAAAGTCACTAAAATAGTGTATATTGAAATCGCTCATCGTAAGAAAAAAAATTTTGTGACTATATGGTGATGGATGGGGATTATTAGACTATGGGGATTATTTCACAAGATACACAAATATCAAATCATGTTGCACAGGTGAAATTATTGTGTTTATGTCAATCACACTTCAATTAAAAAAATACAATCCTGTTACTGAAGTTCAATAGTTTAGTTGAACAGTATCGATACAACACACTTCTCCCCATCTTTACTTTCACCACCTAAGTCTAGGTCACCATTATCCCACCGTAAACTATAAACCTGCATCTAGTTAGGTTCTCCTATAGTCTCTTCTCTACAGGGCAGTTAGCTTCAACACAAATTTAATCATATTGCTCCCTTACTTAAAACTTCTCCATGGTTTTCCACAGGTCTCAGGATAAAAATCAGTCCTTAAGTTGGTTTGTAAGAAGATAGACTATATATAGTTACATGGTAAAAAAAAAAAGCATTTTACTGATGCCTTGTAGAAAAATAAAAAGTCTGGCCCATGTCTACTTGTCCAGTTTTATTTCACAAGTTACCCTGCTTGGCTTTCTTAGCCACAGCCACACCGGCTTTTTAAAAGCCTTTACTTGTAAACATGCTCTTTCTTACCACAGGCCTTTTCATGTGCTGTTCCTTCTGCCTAGAACATTCCTCACTCTCACCTTCACTTATTCTCAGATCTCAGCAAAACAGCCACTTCACTCAGGAAGACCCTGACTAGGTCAAATCCTGGTATAGGCCCTGAGAGCACCCTTCTCCCTCTGCCTTCTACAACTGTTTTTTTTTTTTAAGATTTTTAAAAATTTATTTATTCATTCATGAAAGAGAGAGAGAGAGACAGGGACACAGGCAGAGGGAGAAGCAGGCTCCATGCTGGGAGCCCGATGTGGGACTCGATCCCCAGTCTCCAGGATCATGCCCTGGGCCAAAAGCAGGTGCTAAACCGCTGAGCCACCTGGGATCCCCTACAACTGGTTTCAAATCAACTTTTGTTTGCTTCTTATTGTATTAATGTCTGTCCTTTCTGTCTTCACCAGAGGTTGCAAACTGGTAGTCAAGAAGCTGAATTGAGCTTCACATATATCTTCTGTTTAGCTCATAGCATTTAACAACATTTTTGAATTAGTTGCTAGAATTTAAAAATGGAGAAATTCCACAAAATGTCAGTTTCCAGATTCCCTTGGAGGGGGTGGGAAAAAGATGATCTGACATCTGCAGGCCAGCATTCCTATATGGGAACACTTTACCCTTCACCAGAATCTACTTTGTTTTATACCACCCATCCCCTTCCTTAATGGTAAGCATCTTGTCTCTATCAACATGCCTTTCACTTCTGCCCATTGAAGGCAAGTTTCTGTCTTCCCAAGTTCAAGAATCTGGCTGGCTTTGCTCAAAATTTTACCTCCAGGGCCCAACATGTGGTCGATGCCAAGCATCTGCTGAATGAACTGAAAATAACTTGAAAGCAACGACACGGAAACAAATACTGGGCATTTCACGCTAAATGTCAAGCACCGTCCTTCAATGCCGCGGTGCGTTACTTTATCTCATCCTGGTAAAATCCCATGAGGAACAGTTTAATTATGTGGGAACCAAAGACCCAGAAAGACGAAATAAGCGTCCCAGGCCTCACAACCAGGAGGAAACCGACCCAAGCTCAGGTGTTCTCCGTGGCCCGACAGTGGACTCAGGACGCCCCCTATTAAGGTACGAAATCCTACAAGACAAACATACTACCCACCCCCGCTCACACACAAAGACACCTCCGGGTTACATTCCGCGCTGTAAGCTCAGGCACCACCACCGGAACGACAGCTGGAGTAGAAGCAAGCAGCCCCCGGCTCCGCGGCGTACCGACCCAGCAGGTGCCGCGGGCCCACCGGGCGCGGCGCCTCCAGAGCCGACTCCGCGCGGCCGCTCCCAGTCGCCCGACTCCGCTAGCAGGGCTGGGAGCGAGAGCGCATCCCCTGGCGCGGCGCCTTTATGTCAGGCAGCGCAGGCCCTGCGGGATGCAGCACCCGCGAAGGCGCCGGGGCCCGCCCGGGGCCGCTCCCAGGACCCGCGGGAACCCTGCGGGCCCCGAGCCCACCCGCCGGGTTCCCCAACCGCTCCCGCCCGCCGAGCCCGACCCTCCCCGCCCCGCCCCGCCCCGGCCGCCCGCCCGATCCGCGCCTCCATGGCAACGGCCGCGCCCCCGAGCCAGGCCGCCGGGATGAGGAACCCCAGCGGTTGAGCCGCTCTCCTCACCGGCATGGTGGCTCCCTCCGGTGCCCGGCGGAGGTCCCCGCCCTGGGAGTAGTCCAACGGCGCCGGGTTCGCGGGAGACGTTTGTCAGAGGTCGCCGAAACGCCGCCCGGGCGCTCTCGAGACTGCGGCTCCTCGGGCGAGAGCAGGCAGTGCGCAAGCGCACTCCGCGCTCGCCCCGCCCCATCCCCGGGCCTCTCGCTTCCTCGGCCTCCGGAGTTGCGCCTGCGCGGAGGCTTTCCGAGTCCGTCTCCTAGGACGCCAGGCTGAGGCCGCGCCTGCGCAATGCTGCCGGTCGGCCGCTTTATTAATCTGGCCCGCAGTGGGGCGGAGACACCTGGCTACCTACCACCGGTTGACCGAGGGAGGCGCACCTGGATCGCGCGGTCAATCTTCTCTGTCTCTTGCAATACTCCAGATGTTGAAAACAACCATAGCAAAAAATTAAAAATTAAAAAAAGCAGTCGTACATTGTGTCCATCTGGAGAGCTAGAGACTTCGCACACATGAATGCGCTTGATTGCTGATTTGTTTATAAAGCCTTGACTCTATTACAGATGAAGTCAGGAGGAGCTTTGTCTGTATTCTCACAGATATCTCCAGAGCCTAGAATAGGACCTAGCACAGGACGGGTTTTCAATGAATTATTTGTGAAAGAACGAATGATCTATCCTCTTTCCTGTCTGAACCTCTGCTCTGAACATCAGCCACTGCGCCTGGATGTGCAATAGACATTTCAAGATGATCATGTCCAAAACTGAAAGGTTGATTCTCGCCCCCCGCCCATACACACACTCTTACCTGCCTCATCCCCATCCCAACCCCCTCCAAACATAAAAACAAACAACAGAAAACGCCCTCTCATACTTCCCTCCGCATCATAAATCTAATCTGAATTCTGACAATTGCTCAGATCAAAACCGTCTTTCTCTCATACCCAATGCCTAATCTTTCAGCAGGGCTTGTTTCTATCTTCAAAGCCGAACCAAAATTTGACCACTTATCACCACCACCACCACTTCTCATCTGTGTTACCACAATAGCTCAAAAACGGTTTCCTTGAGTGCATCCTTGTCTTTCAGTATGTTTTCAACACAGGAGCCAGAGTGATGATGTAAAATCATGAGTCAGGGGCAGCCCGGGTGGCTCAGCGGTTTAGCGCCGCCTCCAGCCCCAGGTGTGATCCTGGAGACCCGGGATAGAGTCCCACGTCGGGCTCCTTGCATGAAGCCTGCTTCTCCCTCTGCCTGTCTCTCTCTCTCTCTCTCTCTCTCTCTCATAAATAAATAAAAATCTTAAAAAAAAAACATGAGTCAGATAGTGTCTTTTCTCTATTCAAAGCCTACCAATGATTACCTATGTCACAGACTAAAACTCACAGGCCCTCTCCCCATTTTCTATCATCTTCCCTCTTGTTCTTTATTCTGCACCAGCTACACTTGGCCTCCTTGAGTCAATGGACATTCTGGGCATGATTCCATCTTAGAATGCAAGGGCTTTTGCACTTGCAGTAGGCGCTAATAAAAACAACTATAAATCATTTGACTTAGTGCCCAGTGTACTATTCTAAGTGCTTTACTTTCTTTTTTTATTATTAATTTAATCTATATAATAACCATTTGAAATAGGTACTGTCATTTTGCTAGAAAATAGGAACAACTATTTTACAGATAAAGAAACTCTGGCACAGAGCTATTAGTTGTCCAAGGTCAGATATATGGGCAGTGACAAAACCCAGATGATCCAAACCGAGGCCTTGGAAAGCTCTCCCCCTAGATATCCACCTGACTCCCGCACTGCTTTGTTTACAAATCATCTTCTCAATGAGCCCTATCATAATCTTTCTACTTAAAATTTCAACTTTCAGCCCCAGTCTTATCTCTTCTCCATTTTTCTATATTTCTCCAGAGTATTCATCTCCATCTGATATACTGTATATATGATACATATTATGTATATACATATATACAGCCTTAATGGTTTTTATTATTGGGACTTCTGGATGGCTCAATGGTTGAGCATCTGCCTTTGGCTCAGAGCATGATCCTGGGGTCCTGAGATTGAGTCCTGCATCGGGCTCCCTGCATGGAGTCTGCTTCTCCTCCCTCTGCCTATGTCTCTGCCTCTCTGTGTGTGTATCTCTTGTGAAAGAATAAATGAAATCATTTAAAAAATGGTTTTAATTATATACACAGACCATAACCACAATCAACTTTAAACATTTTCATCACCCCAAGAAGGAATTCTAAATTCATAGCAGTCACTTCCACTCATCCTCTACGCTCCCCTCGCCAACATCCCAGCCCTGGGCAATCACCAATCAACTGTCTCTCTCGCATCTTTGGAATATTTCATATAAATTGAAATATGTAATATGTGGCCTTCTGTGAATGACTTCTATCACTTAGAGTAATGTTTTTAAGCTTCAGCTCTATTGTGGCATATACCAGTAATTCTTTACTTTTATTCCATTGTGTGGATATACATTTTTATACCCTTGTCAGTTGACAGATATGTGATTTGTTTCTACTTTTTGACCATTATGAATATTGCTGCTACAAGCTTTTCAGTGAGCATGTTTCATTTCTTTTGGGTCTAATATGATTACAAGTGGAATTGCCAGGTCATTCAGTAACTCTAATGCTTAACATTTTGAGAAACTGCTGAGCTGTTTTCTATAGCAGCAATACCACCAGCAATTTGATATTTTCATCAGCAGTGTATGAGGTCTATGATTCTTCCATATCCTCACCAACTCTTGCAGTTTTCTGGTTTTCTGGTCTTTTGATAACAGCCATCCTACTGGTAGTAACTAGCATGTCTTCTTTATGGTTTTGATTTAAACTTCCTTGATAACTAATGATGCACCTCTTCCCATGTGCTTATTACACATTTGAACATCTTCTTTGGAGAAATGCCTACTCAAATCCTTTGCCCATTTTACTTGCCTTTTCATTATTAAGTTGTGAGACTTCTTTCTATATCCTAAATACAAGTCTCTTTTCATATATACAATGCACAAATTTTTCTCCCATTCTGTTCTGTAGGTCGTCTTTTTAATTTCTGGAGTGTGTTCTTTGAAGCTCAAAAGTTTTTAATTTATTTTTTTAAGTTTTTAGTTTAGATCAAATACAGCTTATGTATTTTTTCTTTTTTGCTTCTTTCATTGTACTTCTGATACATAACTAACAAACCATTTCCTACTTCAAGGTCATGAAGATTTATGCTTGTAAGATTTTTGTAGTTTTAACTCTTACATTTACATCTATGATATATTTTGAATTATTTATGTATATGGTATGATACAGGGATCCAGCTTCATTTTTCTGCTTATAAATATCCTACTGTCTCATCACCATTTGCTGAAAATCCTATTCTTCCTTCTTCTGAACTACTGTGGCACCCTTGTCAATGATCAATTGATCATGAATGTGACTGCTGATTTCTAGATTCTCAATTCAGTTCCATTGATCTAAATGGCTAACCTAATGCCAGTACTATACTATCTGATTGCTGTAGGTTTGTAGTAAAATTTGAAGTTATATAGTTTGAGGCCTCCATCTTCGGTCTCTGTTTTCAAGATTGTTTTGGCTATTCTGACTCCCTTGCATTTCTATAGAAATTTTAGAAACACCTTGTGAATTTCCACAAAAAGGCAGCAGGAAACATAATAGGGATTATGTTGAACCTACAGATCAATTTGGGAAGTATTGCCATTTTAACAATGTAAGCCTTTTAATCTATGAACATAGAATCTCCATTTATTTAAGTCTTCTTTAATTTCTTTTTTTGAAAAGATTTTATTTTTTCCTGGGAAACAGAGAGAGAGAGAGGCCGAGACACAGGCAGATGGAGAAGCAAGATCCCTGTAGGGATTCCAGTGTGGGACTTGATCCCCAGATGCTCAACCTCTGAACCACCTAGGCATCCCTTCTTTAATTTCCTTCAGTAATGTTTTGTAGTTTTCAATGCATAAATGCTGCACTTTTTCGGTTATGTTCTTAAGTATTTTGTTCTTTTCTATGCTATCGAAATGGAATTATTTTCTTAATTTTATAGTCAGACTGTTCATTGGTATTGTATAGAAATAAAATTGTTTTCTAGTACATTAACCTGGTACTCTGAACTTTCATGAACTTTTTTACTTCTAGTAGTTTTTTACTGGATTCCTTGGGATCTTCTACTTATAAGATCCTTACTTCTTCATCAATTTTGAAAGATAATTTTATTACATACAGAATTCGAGGTTGATAGCTTTTTTCTCTCAACACTTTAGACATTTCAGTCCACTTTTTTCCTGTTTGCAGATCTCTGAAGAGAAGTACAATGTAATTATTAACCTTTGCTTTTTGTTGTTGTTGTTAAGATTTTATTTATTTGTTTGTTTATTTATTTATTTATTTATTTATTTATTTATTTATTTATTTGACAGAAAGAGAGTACAAGCAGGGGAAGTAGCAGGCAGAGGGTGGGAAGAACTGAGCAGGGAGCCAGATGTGGAGCTTGATCCCAGGACGGTGGGATCAACGCCTGAGCCAAAGACAGACACCCAACCTACTAAGCCAACCAGCTGCCCCTTCTCTTCTCTTTATCTTTGTTTTTCTGTAGTTTGAATATGATATGCTGAGGTATTTGGGCATTTATCCTGCTTGGTGTTCTCTGAGGTTCCTGGTTCCGTGGTTTGGTGTCTGATATTACCCAGGGAAATTCTGTCATTACCACTCCAAATTCCTTTTCCTCTTTCTTCTTCTGACATACCCGTATATTTATATAAGGGTAAACTTTTATGTAGGTTTAATGTAATGTAAATTTTTAATGAAATATATCTTATACAAAGAAAAGCGCACAAATGATAAGTGCACAGCTTGATCAATTTTCACAAAGTGAACACATCTGTGTAATCAGCATCTAAATCAAGAAGCAGAGCATTACCAGGCCCCAGAAACTCCTTGCGTTCTTCCCCAGTTACTATTCACTGCCCCCTAATGGTAACCACTGCGTTAACTCTTAACATTATACTATTTTTTTCTTGTTCTTATACTTTATATTAATAGAACCATCCAGTATGACGTCTTTTGTATCTGTCCCTGTACATTCATTATTATGTTTGTGAGATTCCTTCTTGTTGGGTATAGCATTAGTCCATTCTTCTTCAATGT